TTTAATGCAACAAAGGACTTGTTGACAGAAAGTTACAAGTTCATTGGATTTCTAGCAAATCAACATGTATTTTTCTGTAATTGAAGCATTTGTAAACAGGCAAAACATGGGATATGTGTATGCTTCAGGTTTATTTTTATTTTGTTTTTATAGTTTTTTTATTATGTTTTTTTTTTTAATTTTTAGCCAATGCAAAGCTTTGTTGGTCAATAAAATCTAAATGTGTTTTTATACTAGATATACTGTATAATGTAAATATGTATCGATTAACCAGAGGATGCTTTCCTAAATATTGACCCCTCCTAATAAAATGAAAGTCTACGTATTAGATTTACGAAAGTAACTTCCAATCATTTAAAATCTGCAGTTCTTATCAACATAATACCTGGCGATCCTGCCATGAAGGTCCTTGTTCAGACTTCTTGATAGAGGGCAGGGGTAGCCAAACTCCGGCCCTCCAGCTGTGGTGGAACTACAAATCCCATGAGGCATTGCAGGATTCTAACAGCCACAGACATGACTCCCGGAGAGAGATGCATCATGGGATTTGTAGTTTCACCACAGCTGGAGGGCCAGAGTTTGGCTACCCCTGATATAGGGTGACAACGCTCTGTCCCTGTATCAGTATTGTGTTGTCACCCTGTCACATGCTCTCCCAATGGAGACTACAAACGACTGTGCCAATTCACATTGCACGGGTATGTTACACTATTGTTACCATCAGGGAACCGCCCTGAGAAATAACATGCATCCATCACGGAAGTGCATACATGTAGACAAGAAGTGAGAAGAGGCTGCATGAGAGCAGCAGGAATGAGAAGTAACAAAGGATAAAAAGTGTAAAGGACAGATATATACACACACACATATATACAGTATCTCACAGAAGTGAGTATACACCCCTCACATTTTTGTACATATTTTATGATATCATTTCATGTGACGACACAGAAGAAATGACACTTTGCTACAATGTAAAGTAGTGAGTGTACAGCTTCTATATCAGTGTACATTTGCTGTCCCCTCAAAATAACTCAACACACAGCCATTAATGTCTAAACCGCTGGCAACAAAAGTGAGTACACCCCTAAGTGAAAATGTACTCACTTTTGTTGCCAGCGGTTTAGACATTAATGGCTGTGTGTTGAGTTATTTTGAGGGGACAGCAAATGTACAATGATATACAAGCTGTACACTCACTACTTTATATTGTAGCAAAGTGTCAAAGTGTCTTCAGTGTCATCACATGAAATTATAAAATAAAATATTTACAAAAATGTGAGGGGTGTACTCACTTCTGTGATATACTGTATATACAGCACAGCAGCTAAGTGGTTAGCACTTCTGCCTTGCAGCACTGTGGATCCCCCTGTCAAATACCAGTCTTGACACTGTCTACAAGGAGTTTGCATGTTCTCTCCTTGAGGGAAGGGACTGATGTGAATGTGCAGTATGCAAAGTGCTGCGTAAATTGTTGGTGCTATATAAATACCTGTAATAAATATATAGCCAATATTAAAATGCTGATTGGAACAATGGGTCAATTGCAAAACTGAAATATATACAGTATACCACCCATGAGATGCCAATGCCATATGTATTTATACCACCCACGAGATGCTAGGGCTAAAATCTCTGTAAAGGCTAAAGCCTATTCTGCCCTTCAATTATCTGAAAAACCATTTTGCAGTTTACTCTCACAGACAGCTAATATAGATATTGATAATATGGTGTATGAGGTGATTTTTTTTGCTTTCATATACCTTTATTTATTCTTATTTTCCTCAACATTTCAATAGCTGCCCAGCAAACAATATGATGGCATGGGTTGGGATAAACTATAACACTGCTGGCAGTTGCAGCAACATTAAATAAAAGATTTAAAACATTGGGAATAAAAAGTGATTTTTGTAAACAGTGTTTTAGATTGCAAAATCCTTTGTCACTGTCACTTTTGCTTGACGTTTTTTTGGCAGAAAACAGGGCTGGAGGAAGATGATCAAGGTTTTCCAAATTGGGGAGGGGGGGTTGTATATGATCGGTTAGACATAAGAGAACTAGGGAGAGAATATAGGATAAGGGGAGGGGGGGTTTTGAGAACACGGAGGAGAGGATAGAGGTTTAACAACACAGGGGTAAGATGCCCTTCCTCCTACTCCTCCAAAGGAAGTTTTGAAAGAAGGAATGAATGAGGGGAACTGGGAGGTAATTAGGGGAGAATGAATGAGAGAGGGGGTAAGATATATATGCTTGAGGTTTTTTTTAAATGTATTATATTAATACATTTATATAATGGAATATGTAAAATGTATGAAAATAAAGTGAAATAAAAATATATTAAACAAAAAAAAAGAAGGTTTCCAAATTGATAAAAGAAAAATCAACAATCTTCGATATGATGATGACACAATGCTCATAGCTGAAAATATAAAGGGCATCAAGAGCCCGATTAAGAAAGTTAAAGAACAGAGATAAAAGATGGGACAGCTAAGTATCAAAACTAAGGCTATAGTTATGACAACAGGAACATGGTTGATGGTGAGGACACAGAAATAGTAGACAGACTTCTGCCTTCTTGGATCAATCATGGCCCTTATGGAAGAGCTAAAAAAAAAACCTTTTCTTTAAAAGTACTGCTGTGTCTATTAGTACAAAAGTCAGAATTGTCCAGAACTTGATATTTTCTGCTGCTCTCTATGAATGTGAATTCTGAACAATAGAGAAGCAAGACAGGAAAAGTATCGATGCCTTTGAACCTTGGTGTTGGCCATGCACCATGAACAGCAAGGAAAACAAATGGCTCCTTCAATAAATCAGGGCCAAACTTTCATTAGGCGCTCAGATGACTAACCTGAAGCTGACTTTTGTGGACATATCTTATGAGAAAAAAACAGCGCAATAAAAAAGACAGGTATGTTTGAACAAATTGACAGGAAAAGGGGTAGAGGACGGCCGCTCTGACACAGCGCAGCATCCAGCGGGGAGGAGAGAAACTGTCACAGAAGGCCGAGTGATGCAGGGGAGGAGAGCGCTGTGAACGGCTGGCGTGTTTCCTCCCGCACCACTCAGCCTCCTGTGACAGATAAGGAGAGCAGCGGCATGGGGGAGGAGAGAGCTGTCAGCTGTTACAGGAGGCCAGGCAGCGGTGTGGGGGAGAAGTCAGCTGTCAGAGGAGATGGAGCTCTCCTCCCGCACCATTCGCTCAGCCTCCTGTTACAGCGAGTCAGGAAAGAAAGCGGGTACAAGCAGTCAGCAATCAGTGATCTCTGAGTGTTTGTAAATATTTGAGGACATAGTATGTTTACTGTGTCCCCAATTATGAAGGAATGGGAAGTGATCTACATTACTTCCTGTTCATTCATGATTGTGGACATGGTAAACATACTATCTCCACAAGTTACTGTATGAATGAACAAGGGATGCACAAAAAGAGATTAAGGGCTCTATGTCCTCAATCTCTTTTTCTATTTTAAAAGGGAAATATCAGGGGTCTGTTTATACCCCTAATATTTCCCCCAAAGCCCCCAACAGTAGAGAAAAGAATAAAAATATTTAATAAAAATAAATCAATAAATAAAAATAAAATATTAAAAAGAAATTAAAAAGACTAGAAATTAAAACAATTTCAGTTTCGGACTGACATTTTTTATTTTTGGTTTTAAATATTTTATTTCAGTGCATCTCTACTTATAACCCAAACAGAAGACAGATCATTCTAAAAAAAAAACCACTATCTGTGCGGTCGCCGGGAGTCTCCATCGACTTCACAGCATTCAATAATAGTAAAAACAACAATAATAAGGAGAGAAAGATATGAAAAAAAGGTTCACGTACTGAATGCTATCAATACAAGGTTTCACTACAAACTGTTTCACTACCTCACTAATCGACCCTGTCTTCAATGCGGTAAATCTTCACTTTCCTGGTGAGCTATAGGCGCTGCTGGTATCCAACACTTCTGGATGTGTCACATACCTGGTCCCCTGCTGAGTATTGTGATTCCTACTACCAGCAAAAATGTCACTACTATGTCTTGTAGTGGCATTGCAGTTGGTTTGAGAATCACAATGATTAGCAGGGGACCAGGCATGCAACACAGCTAGGGGTGTTGGATACCAGCAGCACTTGTAGCTGTTTAAGGCCCTTGTCCAATGGGCTGATCAGGAGAGGATCCGTGCATGGATCCTCTTCTGATCAGGGCAGTGCGGAGCGGATGTCAACGCTGTGACATCCGTGTCTGTACAGTTTTTTCCTCCATCTTGCAATGGAGGAAAAAACTGCAATTACCGAACCCCATGTATGTCTACGGGGAATCGGATGTAAACGGACACATGATTACCCCCCATCCGGCACAATCCAGTCCTGCAAAATGGATCTCTGATCTGTCTGTTTTTCCAGACCCGGCCAGAGGGCCATAGACTTGCATTGGGCATCTGATCGAGTTTGCCTGAAAAACTGACAGGCAATTCCGATCGGAGCGGCCATGTGAAAGGGGCGTAAGAGAGATTTAACAAACTGCCTGCTGGAAAGGTTTTGATGTCTTTTTTTTACACTTGAAGGTCGCTTTAAGAAAAAAAAATCTTGCACCAGCAAATGCATAATGTGAACATAAAACACACTGCATGAAAAAGCAGAATTTTTCAATGTCTGTCCTCATAATTATTTTATAGTTACGTAATTGACTTGCACAACACCACGATCAATAAGGAAATCCTTGTAATATTTGCAAAGAGTTGCATGTTATAAGTAATCTATCTTACATCACATGTACATCAGTGTACCATGTGATATGAATACTTTCAGACTTTTTGTGAGAGCTGTGACAAAAGAGGAAGAAGAGGCTTGGAACAGCGTTGTCTGGAACATAGTAAAGATATTGGCTATATTTCTTTTTCCAAACATATATGAGTGTCTTGGCTATAATTAGGTTCCTTCAGAAGCATCTTAGTCAAGATGGAAAACATTTTCGTATGAGACAAGTAAACAATTAATAAACTTACTTCATTGGAATTGTCTGTGGACATTCTGTTGTTTTCCAATGGTTGCTCTTCATGTGGTTTTCTCCCAACTTCCTCTATGTTTGTAGATATACTTTTGTTACCATGTGCTGATGCTACATCAGAGGAAACCTTATCAGGTACCTTTACTGGATAAACCTGGTCCGTTGACTTTATTTCCTTTACTTTTTGCTCAGTGAAATAACTTACTGGGACTGAGACAGAAGAATCACTGTTTCTTTCTACAGCAGGTAGCTTTGGCAGTTCCGATTTTAGCTTAACCTCTGGCAATGTCTGACATATGTTTGAGACTCGTCCAGGTGCGGGAGTTTCAGACTTTTTACTTGGTTTTGGTGACGTTCTGCGTCCAGCAGACAATTCTCTTTGTTCTTTTGAACGTCTTGGGGCAGCTTTTGGCATTTCTTTGTTCTGTCCTTCAATTGATGGTTTTGCATGAGTTACACTAGGAGTTTGCATATCTCCCTTTGTTTTCTGGTCTTTTAAGAATGTCGTTGGACTCTTTTCTTCATTTGTATGTTGTGTTAAATCATCAAAATACATATCTTTTAGGGAAAACATGATATCCCCCTCAGTTTGCAAATTAACTGGTTTTGGAATGGAAGATTCATCTGCTCTGCTATGGCACACAAGACCATCTTTTAGTTTCATGGTATCTTTTGCTACTACAGATTTTCCAGTTTTATTAGGGGCAGTGGAAGCTGCAAACCTTTTGTTTGTTGTCACAGGAGATATTTCCACCTCCATTTTTTCTTGCACTGGAGATTTAGGAGTATCTCTACCAAATCGAGACCTTCTTGTAGCAGAACTTATGCCTTCCACTTGATTTGGGCTTCCTTGTACTGCTTCCTCTTTCTTGGAATCTGGTATTTGTAAAGGTTCGTCTTCTTTTTTCTTCTTTCTTGCATAGGACTCTTTTGAGGCTTGCTTTTTTGTTATAACTTCTACTGTTTCGTAGACATAAGCAAGAAATTCTTTCCCATTTTCTTCAATATTTTCAGGTAGAGAATAGCCATTGGTGGTTACCTCTTCCTTTGGTTTAGTGTCCATTTCAGCAAAGCCATTGACTACATTTTGAGGCTGCTCCACTGTCTTTGGAATTTCCCCTTGAAGCCTTGAGTTTGGATCAGGAATATGGACCTTGATTAATTCCTCTTTATCTTCTGATGAAGCTAAGGCATCTTCTTTCTTTTCAGATGAGAACCTCCGCTTTCTCTGAATCCTTTCAGGACTCAAAGCTCTTAGTCTTTCACCTTCCTCAAAGTTCTCCTTGACTCTCCTCCTACTTTGCTCAATCTCACGCATTTTGGCTTCAGCTTTTCTCTTGAGTTTTGCAAACCATCTTTGGTGGATTTTGTATTCACTCATTGTTCCAACTTCTAGCACTCCTGAACAGGAAACTATGCCCTTGTTATTCCTGGCGGATGCTTGATAAATTGCTGCATCTTCTTCACTGCACCTAAAGCATAGATTTGCTATGATTAGAACTAAGCAATGCATGGAAATTAAATCTAAGTCTATAAAATCACATTAAACACTCACTTGTAAATTTGTAATGTATGCCGTTTTCCATTACGGAATATTTCATATTTTGGCAAACCACAATATCTGTCCAGTTCTTCATCATCTTTGTACCACGTAACCTCTGGCTCCGGGTATCCTATAGGAAAATGTATTTATTTTGTCAAATGCATTTTTTTTAAAAAGTATCAAAAAAGGGATTAATATATAGCAGTTTTATGGATTGAATGTGAGCAACCTTCAACACCTCAAAACATTAATGGAAATTAACAAGCTTTCCACCCTGCCTTTGTCATTACCCCCTCATTTTTGCTAAACATACCACAATTATATTCAAAAAGCAATGATAGCAACAAGACCATGTTTTCACTGCTCTATCGCTGCTATACAGATCTGACTAGCAAGATTTTAAGCTTCCTCTTCCTCCATTAATATTTCCCCATTCCCTAATAATAATAATCATAAAGATAATGAAGAAGTTGGCCTGTCATCAGACAAAATGGTGCTTGCAGGCAATTTGCATGTGAGCCGAGTTTTCACATTTCACTGAATCATTGCAAATGCATCCAACAACTTTTGCTTGACTAAGACCGGTTAATGGCCTGACCTGAGAACCCTGTAATCCTACTATCACCAACAAAATAATAGTTATGTTCTTCCCACTGAATACTCTGTTAAGCTCTAGAGATATTAGAGCTTTTATTAACAGGTCCCATTACTGGGGCCAAGTGTTCTGATGTGTTCTGTAAAATCAAATTTATATCAAAAACAGAATGTTGAGTTCAATGGACCTTTAGGGGAATTATACCACATATATGTACAAAATAAATAATTATCCTTTACACATACATGTTTTACTCTGAACTTGCGGCACTCTAGGACATGTGTTGATGGGCTTATATATGCTTCCAATGGGTTTTGCATTTCCATAAAAATCAATGGAGATGCAAAGCCTGCCTAAATCAGGTTAAATGCAGGTCAGAGGGAGGTTACACGCCCAAAGCCCTTCTATACAGGCAGTAGACGGGTTTTCAATTTTACTTGTAGATGCTGCTTGACATGTGAAAGTGTCCTTATCTTAAAAAATACAGATTTTTATGCCATGTATTCACTGTAATTGAGCCCCCTTGCACTGTTTACATTTTTCCTGCAGGTAGATAGTTGCATAACTGAAGTTATATCTCTCAAGATTTGCTTATGCTCCTTACTGTTTGCTGGTAAAACATTTTAATGGTCATGATGTTATCTCTGGGACTAAACTGGATTGCTGGTTGATTCACACATGCTTTAGAAAGCTATTTTCATGACATCATAGACAAGATATAGTTATAGTGTATATTAGGAGGTTTTCTATTTTCATATGTTACAGGACAGTCCCTTCACCTGCCCCCATTCACGCTGATCTAAAAGAGAGATTAACTGTATTGTAGAGCTGAAATAAATAAATAAAAGCATTGGCAGTGCTTGAGAGGTGATGTGTGGCAGAGATTAACTGTGCTGGAATTGTGATATTAGAGAAAGGAGAGACGTGTAATATAATATAATAGCCTGTTCTTATATATTGGAAAATTATATAAGAAACATTAAAGTCTAGTACACTAAAATTAGTACTCTCTGCTTTGTAGGTAGTCATGACAGCCTGACAGTTTAAGCTGTTGATAACTAAGGTGCATTAGGATTACTTACTAAGGGCTGATTCACAACAGCAAGCACGTGTAATACTGCGTGAAATGTGTGCAAGCTGGTGTGTGTTGTGAAGGGGGGTGCATTGCATTGTTACCTAGTGTGAACAACCCCTAAAGGAGTAGAGGATGTTCACCTAGCAAAGTAAATATTCACTTTGAATAGTGTATATTCTCTTTGCAAATGTAATGTGTGTAAAAAGGTGATGCTGTGCTCACATTCAATACCCAATCATGCATGAGAAAAATGTAAAATATAAGATTTTCTCTAGCACATGGTTGGGTTTTCAAAGTGAGCACAGCTTCAACTTATTCAATAACAAGCGCTTTGCAAAATGTAAATACGCATTTACACTAAGTGGATAGACTCTACTCCATTAATAAATAGATTTCAATGGTTAGCAAATTTTACAACTGCATAGCAAGATTTACTAGTTTCTGCTGGCAAACACCCCACAGAAGCCTGCTATGAGGCATGCATTAACACTTTGCAAATCATTTATTCTATAAGGGATCTTGCAATGCAGATGTATGTAGATCGTTATTTTCTAACCTTCTAAAGGATCCCTGACAGAAATTGGAATATTAGGCATCTTTGCAGCATATTCAACTGGGAAAACTGGTGGTGGGCACGTTAAGCTTCTGTGATAAGGGAAGCAAGAAGACATAACCCTGTATAACAGAAGAGACATCCACTTTGAGAAAGAAAGAGGAATGAGCAGCAGAGAAATAAAAGGATGAATAAGAAATGGCCACTGGTGTTGACGATTCCAAGAAGTGCATAAGGCATAAGGCACCATTTTTTGAATTGCAAATAATGCACAGAGATCCAGAAGCCCAAGGGAGTAGAAGAAGACTGGTAGGTCCCAAAAAGTGAAACCTGACTTGGAGAAACAAAATAGTAGGCATCAATCTGCTTCTTGATCCTTAGCTTGACGTAGGTGTGATAAATGTCTACCACAAAGGGTAGCCAGGTGGGACCTCTGGTTTCCCCATTCACAGATCCTGTGGAAGGATCTGTATATTTATCACTTGGTTGTGCGGGTAGATTTAAAAAGATCCCAGGATGCTGTAGGGAGAAAAATGCCGGGTTTTAAGTAAGGGTGGAGGGATAAAATGTAGGGAAGCGGGCCTGAGGATGTGACCATGGTTCATGTTACACCCTGAATATAGAGTAACTCTTTAATTAGCATCAAGCTGTGTCCCTCAATGGATGATAGAGAAAAAAGCTTTGGGTTTAGACATACTTTTAAGTGGACCTTTACCCCCTTTCACTAAAAATCACATCAGCTTGCAGCTCTGCATGCCGATTAAAAATCATCTTACAGTCATTAGTTAAACAAACTTGATTTTCCTTTACAAACAAATAGAGTTCATCTACTTCCTGTTCCACTTTGGTACAAATTATGTAATCGTGTCCAAGCCTTGCATCCTGGGAAGGTTACATTAGCAAGCATTGCTGGGAAATCTTATCTGTAATCTAATGAGATCTCAGGGAAAAGTATTTTCCTCCCCTGAGATTATGTGCATGGTCACATGTCCTAGTCACATGTGCCAGAATGCCAGGAAATACAGGGAGAGCTAGTAACCTGCCCTTAGTTAACATGGCCACTGTCAGATGACTGGGAAAGAAAAGAGAAATAAGGTATGTAAAGAATACAAAGCCGGCAATTATCTATAAGAATCAGTTTGTAGATTGCCATTACTAAAAATTTCTAAAGGTGTGTTTGTTGTTATTTTAAAGATATGGGTTAAGGTCTGCTTTAAGTCTTCTCTTCTGCAGAATCTTTATGTTTATTTTAACAGAGTTGCTATATAGCCTTTTTTCACTTGTACTAGTATTCTAAAAGACTAATGGGATTTTCTAAAACACTTAAAAATAACCTATTTGCAGGTAGATCCAGAAATGTTTACACCCTTGTCACTATTGGATAGTGTATGACACTGATAACTAAACCTGAGACATCATAGGCATCAATGGTAATACTGTACATACCTGTAAGTGTTAAATTTACACATCACTTAGCATGCATGCACTTAACATGATAAAACAAAACACTAAAGGGGGAAAGTGGTAGTAATGAGAAAGAGTAAAATTCAAAAAGCAAGCGTCTGTGTAGCTGAGAAATGTATCCAGGCTGCTTATTGGTACTGAATTTGACACAAAAATAGAAATGTGCTACAGCAGGCAGGCATTTTAAAAAAATTGAAAATTACATATATAAATTAAAAAACTTCCAATATGTGCGTACTGAAAATACATTATTTCTCTTCATTGGCAGCTATATTATTTACACACAAAAAACTCAAATAGCATAATGACATCCTATGGTTAATAAAAGCAGCAAGATGCAGTGTGAGAAAAGAAGAGACCAATATTCTTTGATCAGTTGCATCTCCATTTTTATCACACAGAGCCAATGGCCTAATATTATTTGCTACCTGTGCTATCCCAGTTGATGCAGCACTTTATAGAATAGGGATGGCATAAGGCAAAAGGTGTTGTGACAAGTATCATGGTCCTGTAGAGGAAAGGAAATATGAGACAGAAACAATATGCAGGCTAATTTGTGCCAAGGAAGTATTGAGAAATCAAGGCTGCACAAGGCACAAGTGCTTCAGAGAAGACGTAATAGAACAGAGAAGTCATGAGAAAGAAGATTTATGTTTATGGCAAGAAGAGGGCTGAACCGAGGCAGAAAAGACTGTAGTCTCGGGTGCTGGGTTGGGGAAACTGGGGCAGAAGTCTCCCCTATCTCCTAATTTCTGTAGCCTACAGGTACCCTGAAGGTGCAAGCTCCATTCGTCTCAGCATGAGGGGGTGCACTTTGGCATCCTCGCCTTGTGTGCCACAGGAGATTTGTTCTGCACTAGATGAGGAGGAATGTGGGAGGTATAGTGGAAGAAAGCATGCATATGTTGTAAATTTCAGAAAAGTATTGCAAATTCTTTATTGAATCACCCCCAATAAGAAAAGTAAGATTTATTGTAAGAGAGGGGAATTGGTATTATGGTATAATACTCTCCAGAGACAGAGGTATGGCTGAAGAGAGTTAATATTCAAACAATCTAGGTACTGTGACATCAGTACAACAAAGAATATGTCATTATATAAACACTTTTATTTTGCCAGTAGATAGAGGTGTGTGTAAAGAAAACTGTTTTTGTTCTTTGGGAGGAAAATGATCTTTTTCCCACTTGCGTAGTGTCCAGGCCTGATCTAAATAAGTCTATGTTTGACAGTATTGGCAGCAGGTGCCAAGTTGCTCCCGTGGATAGTTTATCTTTGGACGTCAGCGTTTGAAAGCTGATCTGCTGTCACTTCACACTAGCCTCATATCCATTCTTTACCCCTTCTAACCAGCAGCTCTGTGGTTGCATCACTGCATTCTCTTCAGATTAATTTCATTGTCTCTTTCAATGTAAACTTACTGAAGCACCTGCTATTTTACAGGGT